GGCCACTGAGGACTGCATCCATGACCTGCCATTCATCACTTATTCATTCATTCATTCATTCATTCATTCATTCAGCAGGCCTCTATGGAGAACATTGTCTGGGCAGACCCTTTGTTGAGCTCTGGAGAACTGCATGTGAGTCAACTGGTCCCTACCCTCAAGTTGAAGAAGTCTGTGGGATGACAGGAATAAAAGAGAGGTCCTGGAGGGGTGAGTCTTTCTCCAAGGAGCATGCATGCACTCACACAGCTTCCAGAAACCAGATCCCTGAGCGGAAGCTGATGGCCGCAGGGATGGTGGGATTTGAACCTGGATGAACACAACATTGTGGACTGGCCCCAAAGTCTCTGTTCTTGACCAGCGAGCTGGATTTGTACCAGGAACTTTCTCTCTGAAAAGGCGACTCAGGGCTGGGGAGTCCAGAGCCGACTTGAAAAAGTGGAAAGCGGCTCAGTATTGGCCTGCCCGGTGCTTTGGGCATGCGTGAGCACTCACAGCAAACACAGCTGGCGAGGCTAAAATTAGCCTCGCCAGCCTTGAAAAGAGACCCTTTAAGGAAATATATTTTCTCAGAAACAATTTGTATTATAATGCAGCGGCTGATCGACATGTCAGAATATTACTTACTATTGGTGGGGGAAAACTCTGCCAAGTAATTATGATTTTCGTTCTTTTTCTGTGTGTGTTATCAGTGCAGCAATTAGAACATCCATGATCAAGATCATAACGAGGGAGACCATGAGCGGACCGGCGTTGGTGTTTTTATTTATAAAGAAGTCCAAAAACCCAGCGGGACACCTCTCTTTGATATTTCCAAATGGGCTGTGATGCTAAGAAGGACTATTTCTGCTATAAGTTGGTCACTGTGATCTGTGATGCGTGGCTTGATAACAGCAGAGTTCTGGTGTAGGCTCCAAATTTCCTCAACACTTGGCATCCCCCCTGTCCTCCAAGAAGTAAAATGTTACTTTCTAAAGTGTTCGTTTCTAAAATGTTAGATTCATCTGGCTTCAGGGTGTTCACGGGGTTTTGAGAGCATCCGGAGACACACTTGGTGCATTTTAACCAGCTAGGTTAGTCCCTCTTCCTGGATTTTTTTCCCCCTTTCTCCCTCCTGCCTCCCTCCCGAGAGGTCCTCACTGTTTTGTTTAGCCGGGTGGCTTACCTTTCAACTTGGCACGAAAGGGAAAGAAGGCAGCTCGTCTGTGGAGCCGATGGAGGGAAGGATAAGAAACAATCCACCGCCCGCAGCTGAGTCCCCCGGTTCAGTTCCAGCGGCAGCAGCTTCACTGCAAAAATCGCTTTGCTATTCGAGATAGCCAGCAGAGGGAATCGGAACTTTGCTTGCAGCAGGGGTTGAAGCAGCCTTTTTTTTTTTTTCTTGGAGGAAATACTGCAGCCTTCTGGACTGCGTACGCCGCTCCCTGGAGAGGCTCTCTCGGTTCCACCCACCGGCTGGAAGGAGGGGAAGTGAATGAAAGGACAGGACAAGCCCGGATCACCATGTCACTCTGGGAGGGAGACAGCAGCAACTAAGCTGTGCAAGGTTTTTTTGTTTTTTTTTTTCCTTTTTTCTTTTCCCCTTTCTTTTTCTTTCTGTTCCCTCCCTGTTTTCTTTTTTCCTCTTTCTTTCTCTTTCTTTCTTTTCCTCTTGATTTGCTTTTGCTTTAAGGTGAGGAAAGAGACAAACAGGAGACAGGAAGCTGATCTGCAAGGATTCGGAGTTATGTTGAAAGGACTTTGATTTTTTTTTTCCGTTCCCCTTTTACAAACGCTGGCAATTGACATCAATACAGGCAGCCTGGTAGAGAGCAAACTGCCTCATCCCAAGTGGACCCCGGCAGCTGGGAGAAGGCAGACAAGATCTGGGGAAGCTGTGTGTGGGGTTTGATTTTTCCCACCGATCCCGGTCTCCTTTTTTTTTTTTTTTTTTTTTTGGTGTGTTTCTTTTTTATATTCTTGCTGTGTTGGAACTAGCGAGTGGTGGAAGACGAGCAATCTCCGAAGCCTCATCAGTCATCGGGACTGTCAGGAATAGTGGCTTAAGAGGAAGCTCGGCCTGGGGCACTATACCCTGTCATCCAGTTCCCTGCCTCGGAGATAAAGATTCCAGCTACATGGGCAAACGCCTGGATCAGCCACAAATGTACCCCCAGTACACTTACTACTATCCTCATTATCTCCAAACCAAGGTATGGCTCTGACTCATAGTCCGGCAGTCAGTGTGGTATCTATCCTTCTGCACTTGGCTAGGAAACAGGCAGGCATGTGAATTAGTATTTACCTACCCCTCCCTCCCATCACCTCTTCCTGCTTCTTTGAAATTAGTAACATACCCACGGAGTTAATAAGGCGGCGGAGAATATAGGAAGAGAGCAAGCCCGGAATCCCGGCTTTCTCTTTAAGGAGAGCTCATAGTTTCACGGGAGTTCTTTTGTTGTTATTTGGCAGCATAAACGTTCCTGGTATCTGTAAAGTCCTTTGCAGATGGGCAGGGTTGTTAGAAAGGAGATCCTACCGGTGATTATCAGGCACGAGAATACAATTTCAGGGGCTTTGCTGGTGAGCTGTTCTTTGTTTGTGACTCTGAGAGGGTTGTTCCCACTGGATAGGACACGCCAGGGTGGGGGGAACTCAAACTTTTAATCGCTGGATGTAGAATAAAAGAAGGGCGTGGAAGGTAGACAGCAGTGAACTAAACTCTCTTGGAGTTTGTTTGGGTGTATTTTTTAAAAATTTTATTTGCCTTACACGTTTTGTTTCCTATGGGGGGTGATCAGGATGCTACAGACTGAATTGTGGAGCTTTGCCAGAGATGTTCTTGACTTTTAGAAGCTCCGTTTGCCTGTGTTAGCTGCCACCAGAAGGCCTGGGGCTTGGAATGGGCTGAAATGTAACTGATGGTAATTGGACGTGAATTGGTTAAATACTTCAGGCTTTATGTGTGTGCTCAAATGATCATTAAGGGGCCAGTGGGAAGCCCACGTAACTAAGCAGTGGGCAGTGCCAACCATGAACTTTCTCCTGCAGTTCACACATGAAGGACTCTCAGGTGTGATATCCCTGCCCCAATTTGTCAAATAGATCGGACTTGATTTGGAGAGGGGGGGCAGCGGGGGGGATGTTGGTAGCCTGCCCACCTTGAAGGCATGGATTCTATTTCTTGAGGGATGATATTATTTTGTATCGCATTAGCCAGACTCCACAGTCTTCTTCATGGATAAATATGTGGAGAGTGAGCAAGGCGTGCCTGAGTGATCCGTGCTGTCACCAGGACTCCTCGATGTGATTAGGCTTTGCTAATTCATGCCGTAGTGTTCGCTCAGTTATTCTGTCTCATCAAACAATGCCTGTTTGTGAGCCAGACCAGGCAGCAGACTTTCAATATTATATTAAAGATTGTTGCCTTTTTGCCTCTCCTTTTCCGTCGCTCCAGGATTCGCCCTGCCCCTCCAAGGTCGACTCACGTTGCTTTTTGCCTTTGTGAGCATTTAGTTTGTGCTGCTGCTGCTGCTTAAAGAGACCAGCCCAGTGCCTTGAGTTTTAACTCTTTGGGGATTGGGAGGAGAATGCTGCCCGCTTTTCTTGAGGAAATGGCAAAGCAAGGACAAGTTTTTTTTTTTTAAAAGGGGGGGGATTTGTAGTCATTTCTCATCCCCCCCCCCCCAAGAAACAAAAACAACAAACTCAAGGAGTTGGCATGAAAAATCTCGGACATTCCATCCCTTTTACTCATGTGGCTAAATTTTTCCAAATGTTTCAAAATTCACGCTCTTCTTTTGGGTCCTTGTTTGCTACTAGGAAGTGTATTCAGAAAAGAAAAAGTTTAGATGGAAATGAATGGAAGAGTTGCTTTTCTGCTTGGGATTTTTTTTAACCTATTTGTAGCAGGAAATAATGTCATGCGCATTATATGAAAGATACAATATGCTCCATGAGCCACGCTGGTGGAAAGTGTGTGTGTGTGTGTGTGTGTGTGTGTGTGTGTGGAGAGAGAGAGAGAGAGAGAGAGAGATTGGGGTACAGGAGAAAGTGGAGTGGTGAGGGAAGAGAGGAGAGCTGTTTTGGGGTCCTATGTAGTTTTGTGTTATGTAGACAGGCGACATCTGGATCTTGTTACTTTCAAGCCAGTCAAAGCCATCAACTTCTGGAACATTTTTAAAGAAGTTAGATCCATTAGGCGACCTAAGCTGATATTTGGGGTAATCAGATCAGGGTGGTAGGGAATATCAGACCAGCTACTTTGGCTATCGCTGTAGTTCACATTGATGATTATGTTGTAAAATTTCGACAGTGCTGTGAAGTTGTCGAATGTTGTTACGGAGGCTCTGAAATGACAGGCATTAATAACATCCCTGGAAGCTGAAGAAGTGAAAACGTGCCCTGTTTTGAAACTTGGACACACAAGGAATGGGAGGAAGGGTCAATGTGCAGTTGCACTTTAAAAATGGAGATTTTTCTGCCAGTGTGAATACTATATAAAAAGTACTCTCATGCCCCAGGATAGCATAAGACCACTTGGTTATCTCAGTATCAGTTTTTGCCCTTTTCACACTTAAATCTCAAAATATAACCTATAATAATTTTGAAGGACCTACATGCTGCTCTATTTATTTGTAAGTCTGGGTGAAATTCACAAAATCCTCTGTGTTCTAGACTTGGCTTATAGTTCTAATCCTATTTTGAAATCATAGCTATTTAAAATGGTGCTTATATATGCAGAACACTTACAGTTCATAGAATTAAAATTCTGTGGTTGACAACAAAGATTATACATACTCTGGTGATATCAGGACTTCAACTGTTCTTTAAATTCAGGGTTTTTCACTAATCCACAAAAGCTATTTGTGGACATTAGTTTTGGTGGAAAATCTTCATGGGATTTTAAAGAACTAAAATGCTTATTGTATTCATTCAGAAAATGCAAAAATGCTGAACCCTCTCTTTTTTTTTTTACTTAAATATGTGTGTTAGATATAGTTGCTATTTTCTTGTGATGAAACAAAATGAAAATGGGATTTTTAAATAAATGCAAATGGTTTCCATTTCCTCAAATGTAATTAAGGTTTATAAAAAATTGTGACATTTTCCTGCCTTCCCTGCTCCTACTTTCCATTACTTTAAAACCAATCTCTTAACTTTGTTGCTTAACTTTTTAAAAATAGAAATAAGATATTTATGCTTTTGCCCATTTGAATAATTTTCCAGGTGCTTAAAATGTTTTATTAGAAAAATTTACGTGTAAGTTAAATAAAATGAAAACCTAAGTGGCTGACTTACAGCAATATTCTTAGCTTACTCTCCCAGACCTCACATTAAAAGTTGCCCTTTGTAAATTTTCTTTTTGATCAAATTCTTTCCTACCAGGAAGAGCAGGTTTGGATAAGAATATTGCTTTTGATTAAGGAGTAATGAAGAAATCTTGGTGACATGTCATAATATTTAAATAAGAGACATAACTGGATTAAAAAGCATGAGTTTCATCAAAAGAAATTTGCTATGGGGAATCCACCCAGAATAATCAGCAGATTTGAGAGAAAGGGGACCAAAAAAATTTGTTCATTAGCTAAGTGATAATTTACATAATGATGTTTGATTGAGTTGTAACCTAATATATCTCAGGAATTTTGTCACAGCCCATTCAAAGCAACCGACCTGTTGCTATTGCATTTTGAGATCCAGGGTGAATTTCAGTCTGAATTCGAGGTATTTTCTGTGTGTGGTGGTGGGGCAGCGGGTGTTCTTGGAAAAACAAACTGGAAAAGCTAAAAAGGGTAAAACATGGTCACAGCCTAATACATTGATATGTTGCAGATGACAAATAGCTATTTCTCTCCAATGCATGTGATATTTGGGAAACTTCAGTCATCTTCAAAAAACTTGAAGATTTGCATAAGCACACTCAGCAAAGCTGGTCTTCCTGCCTTTTCTACACCCTCACCAGTTCACTCTGTCTCTTCATGTGCAGGGCACCCTTTCTAATCACCTTGCTCTTACATCAGTCTACTGCCTTCCCATCTGCTTCCCGGGAAGATCTTGAAGCAGAGGTGCCGACTACGTACCGTTTCTCTGGCGGGTGATACTCAGATTGTGTTCAGAACCTGGTGTGAAGTTGGGGTCAGGTATAAGAAGTCATTAATCAACTGCACACTGATTCCAGGCTGAGTTTTCAACCATCTGCAGCCTGGATTGCCGCCCTTGTCTGCAAGTCTAGCTGGAGCCCAATGGATTGTGCCATAGAAAGAGCAGACACTTGAGAACACAGGGCTGAGGAGCAACACAGGAAGAGAGAGGCTCCTGGGGGGCAAGGGCTGTTCTTAAAGATGTGAATGTACAGATCCTTCAACAACAGAACAACCCTTAACACACTGAAAAATCATTATTTTTCTTCCTTCTTCCCCCACAAATCTTTATTATGATTGGGATTGTCTTATCTTTTCTGTAATGTGGTCATCGTTTTCACAACACTAAGTTTAGTGCCTGCTTAAAAGGAGTAGAAGTGTAAAAAGTTCATGTTTTTTTTTTTATGAAGAATAATTCCAAACTTAAAGTAAAACACCATGTATGTTTCTTTTAATAGTATCTTTCTAACTCATTTTCCTTTCAGATTCTCTGAATTTGGAAAAAGAATAACTGAATTATAACTCAA